CGGTTTGGCAGCTGGGGGCCAACATTTGGTTAATTATATATTGTAACATTTATTGTAATATTAAGGTACAGAATGTATCAAGTAAAACGATCTTTGACGTATCTGGTAGAAAGCACCTAAAAAAGCAGAGATGTTGGGGAAGGGATGGTTTTATTAGGACACATTTCTCTATCTCTCTGCTGTGTCTCAGCAATCTTCTCTGTGACCACTTGTATGAGTACTTTGACTGCCATTTCAGACCAGAGAATTTTATAGGAACTCTTTTCTTTATTGAACCCTCTCAGGCCCTTCTCCCCTTCATCCTCCCATCTCCCCGTCATGGCCTTTTGCATGTTTCCCCTATTTGCTGGATCAATCACCACCTCAGCCAAACTATTTCTCTACCTTCCTGTTTCTCCATTATCCTGTGTTGATCTATCCTTGTATAATCCAAGAGCAACCGTTTGTTGACAGACTTTGAAGAGCACCCATCACATACACCTTATGAGCAGAAGGCAAACCTGCCTATTCTCAAGCTTATCTGATCTACAGCTGTTTCTGCCACATCCTCAGGCACTCCTTCAAAGCTATGGCTCCCAATTCCTAAGATCTGGATGGCAGATGATTCCATAACTCACCACTTCCCTGTACAGCTTGTGACTGACAATATCCTTACAGCTATCCTTGATCCTTTGTCCAAGATGGCAGTGGTGGAGTTAGTGGCATTCCGTCTAATTTTCTTTTCTTTCTCTATTCTTACTTTTGTTTTCTTTTTCTTTAAAGTCTTTTCTTTTACCTTGTCGCTTCGGTTGAAGCAGCATCGACGGCGGCATCAGCGAGAATGGGCCCTGCGCAGATTGGCCAACAAAGATGGTGGTGCAGGCGCAGTGAACTGCGAGGCCTAGTAAATGTTGCAGGAGGAGGCATCCAGCAGTGGCAGCAGCAACACCAGCACGTGGTGGCTGTGGCTCCACTCTAGCCCGAGGCGAGCGAGGAGCAGGTCCCAGGCTTAATCCCCTGGCCAGACTCACAGGCTGAGCAGAGGCTCCAGGCCTGCAGCAAGGCCCGGGTGCCTAGTGGTGGAGACATCCACCAGCGGCAAGTTTGGTCCCAGCGCAGGACACTGCAGTACCAGTGGCGGCTGCTGCTTTGGCGAGTTGGCCCAGTGTGAACTCATGATGTCGGTGGCGTTACTGGAGGGAAGATGGTGCTGTAGAGTGGCGACTCTTTTCTCCAGTAGCAGCAGCACAGCAAAGCGCGGTTGCAGCAGTGTAGTCAGTTTATCAGCAGGGACTCGAGGCATCAGGGTGGAGGAGCCTGGATCTGGGCTTATGGCTGAGCTAGAAGCAGGAGTGTTTCCAAAGCCCACCTAACTTTATTGAGATAAGGCTATAAAATGAACTTAATTTCTGGCTCTATATTCTGTGTTTTAGTTTATTTTCTGAGTTTCAAGATGGCGCTGGAGAGTGGCGACACTAAACAACAATTTTTACTGCATTTGTCACAAATGCCTGTGACAATAAATAAATCAAATCAAATCCCCTGATCTTCCTCGACAACAGGTTGGCTCTTGGAGGACAGGGCAGCACTTTCCACATCTACATTGATGAAATTCAGCTGTAAATCTCCACTATTTTCCTTGAACCCTCCAGAGAATCTCTGTGTCACTCAAACTGTTTGTCAAACCTGAAATTTTGGATGAATTGCAAAGACCGAAACCATCATTTTCTGGGCTCCATTTCCTCTCCACATTTTTTTATCTCCATAATCTTGCTCACCTCTGAATTTAATTAAGCTCCTTGTCTATCAAACTGTTTTTTTTATCTTTTTCATCTCCAGACTTGACTATGCCAAATTTCTTTTGATTGACCTCCCTGTACAAACTTCAGCTCATCCAAACTGTTTCCTGAATCTGACCCTGCATCAAGCCATCCTCAATCTTGTTGAGAAAGTAAGGCATGGAGAGGATATAAAGAGGCAGCAAAGGGATAGAGATCAGTTTGGTGATTGTGCAAGAACGTGGCAAATAGGTAAAAATTTAGAGCTGTGAAATTGTCCATTTTGCTTGAAAGAGTACAAAAGCAGTTCTGTTAATTCTAGTATATGTTTTGTTGTTCCCTGCCTATCTTTCCCTATCAACTGGATCTATTTATATAGTTAATAACATAGCGGAACTGAATGAAAAAAATGCTCTGGAATCAAACAGAGTACAACTCCATGTAATGGGGAGTGAGAGGGCAGTTGGGCAAACCGACTCCAGATTGCTATAGAAAGTTGAATTGGATCTCATTTGGACTTCACCTTAACAAGAGATGGTTGCTGTACTAGTGTGAAACAAGAAATCATTAGCTTTAACATAATTTCTTAAGACCTCCTTCAGAAACATCCCAAAGTGTACCACAAGCATTAGATTACTTCAAATACAGCGATGGTTACTCTGTAGACAAACATGGATGGACAATCTGTGCACAGCAAGATCCCACCAACAGATGGCTGAAAGACTAATTAATCTGTGGCCAGTTCAATCATTTTCCATAAAATAACGACTGATAGGAAGGGGGCTACCTCGAGTTGACTTTATATAGGACTTGCACAGTTTAATGAACAGATAGTAACTCTTCCCTATTCTCAAGCAGGGTGTGAATTTGGGTGCAGGACGCAATAGGAGAAGGGCTTTGAACATTATTCCTAAAGTTTATACCTTGGTACAAATTGTTTACATTTTTAGTTATGATTGATAAGATAAAGAGTTTTACCCAAGGTTTACAGAATAACTGCAATTTACACCACTCATCATAAACTTGTTTATTACAGCTCACTGAAAAGTCCACGTGAGATACAAATCCCAATTGCAGCAATTGATAAACAGATTCTACAATTTTAAAAAAAGTTATTGTACCAGGAGTTTGGAGTATAAAGTTATGTCTTCTGGGATTTGGCCAAGCTGATAGGAACAAAATAAGGTAAAAAATAACTGGAAAATTCAACCAGTTTGAAGCATCGGCAGAGAGAACCTGAGTTCATGTTTCAGGTCAATGACCTATCATCAGAACTCAGAACTTTTATCACAACTTTAATGATAACAAGCAAATCAGGATTGTATTCAGTAGGAGATGTCCTGATGGAACAAAGGACAATTAAAAGAAAAGTAGCTTCAACAAAGTAAAAGTTCAGTGGAACGAAAAATTGGTGGAATGTTTCGGAAGCAGCCAATTTACAGCCTTTCATCATCTGTCTCCATCAAAATTACATTTCACCCCCAATATCTTAAGGAAGAGGGGAAACTGTCCATTCATGAGTGGAGGTGTACAGAGAAAGACTTGCATTTATTTAGTGCCTTTAACTTCCTCAGGATGTCATCAATTTGCGATCAATTGATTGTCTTCGAATCACAGTCACTGCGATTATGTGAGCACATTTGCAGGCCAATTTGAGCACATCAAGATCTCACAAACAGCAAAATTAGATGAATTTCCATTTCATTTGTATTAGTAGTTTTCAGTCATGAGCAGAATTTGCCTGTTCTGTGCATCAGCGCCTGGAATGTTTGAGATTCACTTGAATATACAGATAGAGCTCTCAGTTTCACATCGAGGTAACGTGGGGAAGGTTATTACTTTCTGCAGACTTGCAAGTTCTGAGAATCTGAAAACTGATGCACCCTGCATATGATGCTGAAACTCTAGCTCATTCGTAGACCTTTCATCATCCAAACACATTTGAGAGTGACTATATCTTGATAACAAGGGGCTGAAAGGTTATTTGAGGCAGGCAAGAACATGGAAGAACAGGATTAACAGGGCAGAGTGGCGTACATATGTTCCAAATTTGCATGTTCAGATCCATGTTTAAATATTCTGGCTTGTTTAATATGGATTGACAGATAGACAGTAGATTGACAGGCAGGGTGTGAGAGGCTTAAGGGATAGAAAAGATGGAGCAGAGCAGAGAGAGGACAATGATGGGAGGAAAGGGATGTGGGCATCTATAGACAGAAGATTTCTTCAAAGACCAATCTTTGTAATGCCTAAATGAATGTCACAGAAGTGGCTCAATTTAAAAATGTTCGTATGTTGCCACAATAATCTCATACACATACGCTGAAAAGAGCTCAAAGTACACAATAGGAGGCCATGCATTAAAGAATATACGAACATTAACACAGTGCAGTAGCAGAGTAGCACTATTACCTGATTAAATATCCAGAAGGCTACATTAAATCCCACTTAAGCCTGTTCAGATCTCTCCATGGCTGCTAGGGAATTAATGTTCAGTTAAATCTGGAATAAAAATAAAAGCAAGGCCCAGTACTGCAGAAGCTGGAAGTCTGAAATCAAAATAAAATGCTGGAGAAACTTAGCCAGTCTGACAGCATCTGCAGAGAGAGAAACAGAGTTAATGGGCTGAGTCTTACAATTTAATGACTAAGTGCTAGTTGTGTCGAGTTTCATAGAGGGTTTCTCTCCATGAGGCTTAGTGAGGACTCTCACTATAACTGACCAAACCTGTCTCATTAATTTACCCCAATTCTGTGATGCACTTCTCCCTTGATTCTAGCTCCATTCTACAACTTGACAGACCCAGAGAAATTTGCCACTACCGGGACATCCCAGGGTTGACTGGCATCTCTGGTACCCCCGGAGACATCTTTAAAAATCCATTGTTCACCCAGGCAAGTGCAGTTAGTCTGCAGCTGCCATGCACTGTTCCTGATATTTGCTACATATTGTTGATTCACTTGCTTGGGACATCTCCTAACCTGCACCAAAAATGACAGGGATGGCATAAAAGGGGAAATTCCACCTACCTTGATGATGGCGACTGATAGTTCCTGTTGGGTAGAGCGGGGCACAGCTCGGATGTGAGCTTCTCTCAGGACCAGCAATTAAAGCTATGACCAGCAGACCGTACCAGCCCAGTGTCCTCTTAAAGCAGACATAACAAGGTGTAGAGCTGGATGAACACAGCTGCCTTTGTGTCTGCGCTAAGCGGCATAGCAATACCATGTGACTGGTATCTCTGGCTGAGGAGCAAAAAATGCAAAAAGGCAAAGTGTGGATGCTGTGAGCAGCCAGTAGGCTCTGAGTGAGTTAGTGTCGGAAGCGGTCCTGTAGGTGAATTAGATATGTGCCATAAGGGTTGTCAGAGGCTGGTACACGGTGAATGCCAAGCATTCACAAGGTCAAAAATCACAAGGCACCAGGTTATAGTCCAACAGGTTTAATTTGAAGACACAAGCTTTCAGAGTCTCGCTCCTTCTTCAGGTTCAGTGAGGATAAATGGTGTGTGTGTGGCAGCTGTGCAATGAGATCCTTTGAGGCAAGCAGCGAGCTAAAGTCGATGAGTTTTCTGACATCCATATCAAGAATTTTCAATGTCTGGCTTGTTCGGCATGCTTGGTAAGATTGGAAGCAGAATATTAATGAGGCAAGTTATGATGTTAACAAGGCATTTAACAAATTATAATCTCTTGTAATTGGTAAATCGCTGTTGCCTAGCAAGAAATCCACATCAGCAGTTGCACAAAAGATGCAGTGTGATGCTTTTGACATCAAGTAGACTTTGGCAGACTTCTCAGACAACACTGTGACGATTTTCACCACTAACTCCTGCCATCTCATTCTAAAAATGCCAATATGATCACAGGACGGGATAATTGCACTTGTATCCCAACAAGGCAAAAAGCATCAGGCAAAAGACAGTGTGGAAAAAGGTAGAGATTTAGGGGATGAGCCAAACAAAATACAGGGAAAATACTCAGCAGCTCTGGCAGTATTTCATGGAAAGCAAAGCACAATTAATGTATCAGGTCGATGATGTTGTGTCAAGGCCTCCTCATGTTCTGAACAAGACTAAACCCTTAACTGACGTCTAAAACAGACAATCTGATCATTATCGCAGTGCTGCTTGTGGCACTTCACTGCGCATTAAATGGCTGCTGTATATCCCACATTTCAACAGTGACTTTAAAAGATCTTTATTGGTTATAAAGTGCATTCAGAGGCCAAGATCTTAGTTTATTTTAAAGTATTTTATGAACTTAGTGCAAAGCGGCCGGCATTCAGTTTAATTTTATACAAATGGCAAACATTCAGAATCCGAAGATAAATTTAAAAGCAGGACATTGAGTTTTTTCTCCAGATTCAAAAACATTAATTAACAATTAATTATCCTGACAACAAGCTCCATTAATAAGCAAGGGATGAGCCATTAAGCTTAGCAGCTAAGCTAAGTCATGGGGCTGAATTTTGCAGTGAGGCTCCAGATCCCATTGCTGGGAATGGAAATGGAAGCTACTGTTGATTTGGCAGGGACTGACCAACCATACTCGATCATCTGGTCGTCAATGAATTAACCGTTGGGAAATACATCAGCCAACTACCAAGAAAGTAGAACCACAGAATTGGTGTCTGATCATATTGTCAAGGTGCTGTTGAATAATAGGAAACCTTAAGAAAGGAGGAAGGTGGCAGTGAGGGTAGCAGCAGGAAGACCCTGACTGGTTGTTCCATGGTTTAGCATTGCCTCTCTGCAGGGACTCCTTCCAGACTGGGAAAGCTGAAACATTCAGCCAAGATATGTGTTGTATACCTCCCATTCCTTTCAGGTTTGCATGTGGTAGCCCCAAGGGGTGAATTTTTTTGGAGACAGTGTTCTCACTCAATCAATGGCATAGTGGTCAGAAAGCCACGCATCTTGTCAGAGGCACGACTGTAGGTCAGTGATGGCATTCATCTCTGATTGTTGACCCCCAACAAGGGCTCTTGAGAATGGCCACAGACAGAAAGCATGCATGCGTCCAATCATGGAGTGCAGGTCCCATAGGTATAGGTGTTCCTGAAGAAGGGTCTAGGCCCAAAACGTCAGCCTTTCTGCTCCTTTGATGCTGCTTGGCCTGCTGTGTTCATCCAGCTCTACACCTTGTTATCTCAGATTCTCCAGCATCTGCAGTTCCTACTATCTCTCATACCGCATTCATTGTTTCTTCTTCATTTATGGTGCCAATTATTTCCTTAAAAATCTCCAATAGGTTTGTGAAAGATGATATCCTTTCCAAAACTTCATCGTGACTTTGTGTATTACTATTGGTATTTTGTAAATGTCTTCATCCTCTAAATTAGATCCCCACATTTTCTCAAACAATAATGTCAGGCTAACCAATCTATAATTCCCATTTTTTCTCCCTCTCCCATCTTTTAAACAGTGTGATTATATTTGTCACCCTGCAATCTTCTTTTTAATTCACTTGTGGGTTGTGGGCGTCCCAGGTTGGCTATTGTTCATTCCTACTGGCACTTCTCCAGAATCTGCAGGATTTTGGAAGTTGACAAGCATTGCGTCCATTATTTCCATGGCCACCTCCTTTATTACCCTGGTGTGTAGATTATCAGGTCCTGGGGATTTATTAGCTTTCATTCCCAATAATTTCTCCAGCACCTTTTTTATTTACTAATTTCCTTCGATTCTTCCTTCTCAAGACCTTGCCTCCTCAACATTTCTGGGAAGTTCTCACTCAGAGATAGTAGGGACTGCCAATGCTGGAGGCTGAGATAACACAGTGTGGAGCTGGATGAACACAGCAAGCCAGGCAGCATCAGAGGAGTAGGAAAGTTGACGTTTTGGGTCTGAAGAAGGGTCCAGTTTTTCCCAGTATTTCTGGGAAGTGATTTGTGTCTTTTGTGGCAACAGAACTAAAGTAGTTGTTGATTGCTGTACCATTTCCCAGTTCTCCTGTTTCAGACTGTAAGCGACCTACATTTGTCTTTGCCACACTTTTATTTTACATAATTATAAAATTGCTTATGGTTCACATTTATGTGCCTTATAAGTTTACACATACTCTATATCTCCCCTCTTAACCAACCCCTTGGTCCTCCTTTGCTGAATTCTAAACTGCTCCCAGGCTTCAGGTTTGTTACTTTTTCCAGCAACTTTAAATGACTCTTCTACTACTATCCTTAACATTTGCTTTTGTCAGCCATGTTTGGGCCACTGTTAAGTTCTTTTCACCCAAAAGGAAATATAACTGCTGTAATGCATACATGCATTCCTTAAATATTGACTATTGCCTACCCACCTCATGCTCAGTCTATCACAGTCAACTCATCTCTCATGCATTGATGGAAGAGTCCATCCATGTTGCCATGTCTCTGATGGATGCACACTTGGCACTTCCACTAAGTGATTGATGACTCTCATGGAGAGCAAGACCAAGAGACTCAATGGATGGCAAAAAATGTACACAGACCTCCATGTAGTGCCTTGCTCAGGAGATCAACAAAAAAATGGCATGCTCTCATTTATTTATTGCCACATGTATTTTGTTACAAGATACAGTGAAAAGTGTTGTATAGTGTCGCCACTCTCTAGTGCCATCTTAAAACACAGAAAAATAAATCAAAATACGGAAAATAAAAGTAGAAAGATAAGGAAATAAATTTTAAAAATGCTCAATTTCACAGTTCTTCTTGTTAAGTGCTCCACCATGGGCCATGGGCCATAGGCCTGGTGACCAGACATGTGTCCTCTTTGTCAACTCGCCACTGCCAGAATGTAATTTGCCACTCTTTGGTATCATCTCACCTCCACTGATGCCCTCGCCACTATGAATACTCGCTGGGCCTCACCAATGCAGACACCACTCCGCCACTATGAGTCTGCTTCAGGCCCACCTTGCCGATGCAGCCTCTGCTGACACGGCCGGGTCTCATATGGTCCAAACTCACCTCCAGGAACCTGCATTGGGTGTAAATGCTGGCGGGAACCCATACTCACTTCTGTAGCCATTGCCACAAGTCCGTACTGGGCTGACTCGAATCCACGCTGGGCGCACTTGCCACCGCTGATGCTGTCACTGCCACTGAGCTATTCAACAAGGGGTAAGTAAAACAAAAGTGAAAAAAAAATCAAGAAAGAAGATTCAGAAAAGGAAAGGAACATAAACAGAAGCTGACTGAGTGGACAAACCCTGGGCTCAGAAGCCCTATTCCAGCACTATCTTATTGGAAGTTGCAAGATGGAAAAGGTCCTTGGAGTCTTTTTCTGGTCCTTGAGCTCCTCAGTTGAGCAGAAAGACAAAGAGTGTCTTGCAACAGAGGAGGAGCAACAGTCATCTCTTTTATTATATGCTTAACGTCAATATGTGTTTGTGTTCAAGGCAGACTGGTTGAGGAGAAGGCAAAGCAAAGGACTGTTTTCAGGCTTAGACTTCAAAGTATACTATTTATTATACATTAGTATTACATACTGCTTTTTTGGTAATCATATACTTGCCTCTGGTTCTGACTTTTACTCACATTAGTTAACGTCAAATCTACCTTCACCATATGCTTATGTCTATATGTTTTCGCAGTTTTTCTAGTTTAGTCTGGTCCGGTGTCAGGAACTTTAACTACACTGACATTGTGCTATTTACATTCAGTGATGTGCAGCTGTAAAACATCACAGCAAATTTGCTCCAGGATGCTGAAGCCCTTGCACAATGTCTCTCCCTAACCTTTATTCCCCTCATCATAAACACTGATTATGATTTATATGCATCCTCAAATCCATGTTCTAAATTACTTCTCTTTACAACGCTTGCAGTTCAGATTTTCCTTACCTCTCCTACCCTTCCCCAGATCTTTGACTTGATTAATCTGTTTTGATAGGTAGGCCAAGAAAGTCTACAACCAGGTATAGAAGCACTTCAATACATGGTTGACAGAAGGCTGTACAGTTTTGTCTTTGATGATGTGGTATTTCAGAACCATACCTGTGCTCAGAATTTCACATTAACATTGTAACATATGGTATTTTGTTCATTAGAGATATCTGTCTCCTCTGTCAGACGGGTTATTGCGCTTTTAGTAATCAAGATGCTATGTAAAATGTTCTACATGCAAGTTATAGAGTCATAGAGTCACATAACACAGAAACAGGTGCTTCGGCCCAAATCTTCACGCTGACCAGGTTTCCTAAACTGAACTAGTCCCATTTGCCTGCATTTGGCTCATACCCCGCTAAACCTTTTCTCTCCATGTACCTGTCCAAATGCCTTTTAAATATTATAATTGTATCCACCTTTACCACTTCCTCTGCAGATTGTTCCATATAAATACCATGCCCCTCATGTCCCTTTTAATTCTTTCCCCTCTCACCTTAAACCTATGCCCTCTAGTTTTGGACTCCCCTACCCTGGAAAAAGGATTGAAAGAGCTCCGAATGCTGTAAACCAGGAACAAAAACAAAAGTTGCTCGAAGCTCAGCAGGTCTGGCAGCATCAGCGAAGAAAAAAATCAGAGTTAACGTTTTGAGTCTGGTGACCCTTCCTCAGACCCTTCTGTTTGCTAACCACTCCCTGGGTGACATGTCCATTCTGAGCCTCCTCCAGTGCCACAACGATGCCACCTGGAAACTGGAGGAGCAGCACCTCATATTCCGCCTCAGGAGTCTACAGCCTGATGGCCTAAACATAGATTTCACCTGTTCCAAAATTTCCCCACCCCCCCCCCCCCAACCTGGTCTCATCCCATGTCCAACTCTTTCTCATCCCTGCTTCCTTGACCTGACACTACCTGTCCATCTCCTTCCTCATCTATCCGCTCCACCCTTCCTACTGACCAATCCCCACTGCCCCTAACCACATCCACCTATCGCCATCTCACCTACCAGTCCCACCCCTCTTCCCTCTATTTACCTCCCAGCTCCCTTCCCCCTCCCCAGTCCTGATGAAGAGTCTAGGCCCAAAATGTCAACTCTCCTACTCCTCTGATGCTGCCTGACCGGCTGTGTTCCTCCAGCTCCATACTGTATCGAGCACATCTTCCACGTGTCTGGTAAAAAATTTTCAAAACAAACTTCCTACTCTAAGTTCCTAAATCTGAGGGCATAGGAAATATTCCAGATTATCATCAAAGCTTCTCTGAAAATTTGTGATATCCACACCAACTTGGGGAGTGTCTCACCCAGGACAGCCCAATCAGATTCCAAAGGTGTGACCCAGCTGGAGCACCTTCTGGGAGGCCAGGTGGAGGCCAAGTGGGAAGAATAGAAGGAGTTTCAGAAACCTGAGCATCTCAGCCACCTCACCAAACAACACATGCTCCACTTGTAGCAGTGTGCAGATCTAACATCAAGTTGTTTAGCTACCTCGCAACCAGAGTGAAAGAAAGCCCTGCTTGGCTCTGAGGACTTCTTAGCAAACAAATGGGTATTTCCCATTGTTATTGTCCTGGAGAAGGTGAAGGTAAGCTGTCGGCTTGAACTGCTGCAGTCTTTGTGGTACAGAGATATCACAAGTGCTGTTAGCCCTATGTATCTGCTGTACTTATCCTTCTAGGATGGTAGAGGTCAAGGTTTTAAAAGTTGCTGTTGAAGGAACCACAGTGAGTTGTTGCAGTACATCACGACTGTCACTGTGCAGTGGTAGTAGAGACAGTGAATGTTGAAGGTAGTTCATAGAGTGCTAATTGAGTGAGCTGCTTTGTCTTGGATGGTATCAAGCTTCTTAAGTATTGTTGGAGCTGCACTCATTTAGGCAGGTATTCCATCACATCCTGACTTATGCCTTGTAGATGGTGGACAGGCTTAGGGGAATCAGGAGGTAAGTCACCTGTATTCTTAGCTTCTGACCTGCCCTTGTGTCACAGATGATTTTCCAGATGATTAGCCTAATGTTAATTGATAATGCATCATGAATGGTTTATATGGCTACTGTCATACATCTGCTGAACCAACCACAGCTGCTTACGGTTGACATAGAGTGTTGTCTCTCATCCTCCTTTCTATAGTGAATCTAAAGCCTTGTTTGGTTAGCAGTTGTACAGCATAACCCATTACCTTGTCTTATCAAGAAGAGGTACTTATATCAACAAGGTGTAGTCATTGATAGCAATAAGTCCAAGTTACATCGAATAGTTAGATATAATTATGAAGACTATCAGGAAATGGGAATGACATGTTAAACTCCATTGAAATCTCAAGCCCAAATCTGATATTAAATCTTTTTAGTCGCATTATTTCTGATGCCATTTCCTTCTTAATATGATTGCTTGTGCTTAGTAGTTTAAAGCTGTTTTAAATTTGTAGCATCTCAAAGCTGGTGGTAATCCATTGGCCTTTAAGCTTTTAATTTTGCAGTATTTCAATGCAGTTTAATTCCCTTGTATTAAAATCCACTCAAGCTTTTAACTGTTGAATTATTGCAATGTTTTTTTTCCTAATAAAGCTACTAATTCCGTATTTTAGATTTCTGTTAAATAGCAGTCTGCATCTCTGTACCGTTTGCTTGGGTTTTTCTGCCATTTTGTGATCTAAAAGTTGGTTTGCCACCCCCTACAAGTAGGAGGTTCGATACAGTTTCCTGCTTCCTAAAGAGAAAAGTAGATATTTTCCTGTCTATCACAGCCTAACATGCAATGCATATCCCTGCCTGCAAATTTTCTAAATAAACCTCAATGGTTGTGTTCTTTATAAATATTCCTGCCAAAACTGAAGCTTAAATTTCATATCTCCCAATATTGTCACAGTTTTATAATTATTCTATTTTCTTCTGTTAGACTCTACCTTCTAAAACTTTGAAATTGCTCTTTTGTTTCTGAAATCTGCTCCGTGACATTTGTGATTCTATGCCTCAGTGTTCGTTAATTTAATGGCCCTTGACTGAGGGTCCTAAAGCTTGTGTTTTCAAATAAACCTGTTGGACTATAACCTGGTATTGTGTGATTTCTGACCTCGTCCACCTCAGTCCAACACCAGCACCTCCACATCTTTGCAAATGTAGGCATGCCTTATAATGTGCACTCACTACAGGGGTGATGCTCACTGTAAATGGTCAGTACTGTTTCCTTCACCTCTATCCTTTCCTTAAGTCATTAATTTAAAACTATTTAACTTAATGCAGAAAGCTCCGAAATGGTTCCTTTACAGCCAAACATCTAATTGGGACTGCAACTAAAGATTGTTCTTCTCTAAGAACTGTGTAACTAGTTTGACTAGTTTGTATTTACTTGCTCACTAGTCCACACTTTCCTGCACCTCTTGACAACTCTGAAGAGAAGGTTTTAGCTTGGAATACTGCTTTTCCCCTGCTTGTCTTTCCATGGGTTCAGTTGACTGTTTGTCTGTTCAAGTATTTGCTGCTGACTGACTGTCCCAAGTATTCTTAAAGTGGTGATTTTCTGACAGCAGGAAACTCACTTATCTTCAGAAAATTCTTTCTGCTGGGTCAGCTGGATTTTTTTCACAACAACAACAACAAAAACCAAAAGAACCGTGGATGCTGTAAATCAGGAACAAAAACAGAAATTGCTGGAAAAGCTCAGCAGGTCCGGCAGCATCTGTGAAGGGAAAAGACAGAGCAAACGTTTCGGGTCCGGTGAGCCTTCCTCAGAACTGATTTTTTTCACCATTGCTACATTTAAGGTATTCAAGCCATAATCCCACTCCTGATCACCATGTCATATGGCTATGGAACCTGCTGAGTGTTGGAGTAGGGCGGTGCCACACCAAGTCTCCCTTCAAAACTGCGTCCTGTTTGGTTTGAAGTGCTAGAGAATGAACCGCTAGTGAGTCTTAACAAGAAGAGAGACTTGTTTTAATCACAAGACGTTGTTTATCACCCAAAATCAATGGGTTAATGTTATTTTGGTCCTTTGAAGATAAATAGTGAGACTTTCAGAAGCCAGGGAAGACATGACAGAAACCATTGAAAGCTTGAACTGGACTCTTCAGTTCTACACGCTGGGCCATATGACACTACTGGATGGAGCCCAATGCATTGTCCCATGTTGGCCTTTTCCTAATACAACAGTTCAGTTCAGTTCAGTGTCAGGTCAACGGTAACATCCAGAATGATGAAAGTAAGGGAGTCAGTAATGTGAATA